AAGTTCAGTGTGCTACAAATTTATCCTGTGGCAATAGTGCTGTCACCAACCCTAGTTAAAGTTTGATACATTCTTTAACTTATTTTCCAACAAGGAAACTTTTCTATTAAATCTCTTAATTTTTTAGAAATTGATACATATATGTAAAATATTTCCCCCCCACATTGTCTTATTCAGCCAGTACATTTCATTTTCAGACACAGATTGTCTGAGCAAATACAAATAGGAATTTTTAAATGGATATTTAATTTATCAAGATTAAATAGATATCCATACCAAACTGTACCAAACTGGTCTTATGTGAAAAAAGCCTTAGCCCCTTTGTTAATTTATGAATTGGTTGTGATTAACCACGTATTTTCAAGCGCTAAGCATATTTTTATGAACTTTATGAATGCCCCCTGACCTGTGCAATCAAGAAATCACTCAAGTAGAACCTGTCAAGCCACCTGAAGTAGAATAAAACAGGGAAAATGTAATCATCCAAGTGGGAAGGATGTCTATTGTGAACATTTTTTACATTACATGACTCACTCTTGATGCATGTGAAGACTCTTATCTCGGTCACGAAATACCTCAGTGCTAAAAATATATCCACAAAGGTCTCTAGAAATAGACAATACAGAGATTCCTACACAAAATATTAATGTATTGCGACCTGCAATTCTGGCAGGTCTGCATACTCTGTGGCAACAGGCTTTCTAATGAGGCAATGAAGTCTTCAAAACTGCCTTATGGGACCTTCTCACTACAAAGAAACAGACACAGGGCTCTCACTGATTCAGCATTATGATGTGTTGTATTTTTTATATACTATATTTGTTTTTGTGGTATAGCTTACTTTAAAGACTTATTTAAATGTTATCCTAGTGACTGGTAAGCATTAAGGGGCAGAGAGGATCTGACTCATGTTTGCTGTTGGTGCAGTGTTATAGGAATAATGCTAATGAAGTCACAACTACATATTAGATTTATATTTACATTTTAAAAACACCCCAGTTTATATGGTTCATGAAAGTTATCTGCTACTCAACCGGTCCATGAAAGGGTTACAAAGCCATTTTATTAAGAGTTTTGAACTACAGAAAACTACAGTGAGAGTCATTTTCCACAAAGGAAGGCAACATGAAACACTGCAGCTCCCTGAAGTAGAGCAAACCAAAACTACTTCAGAGTGCATCAACCTCTCATCTATGAGGCCACAAAAGAATCTAAGACAATATCTAAAAACATCCAAACAATAATGAGACAAACATGACATGATATTTGGGGTCGATTTCTTTCTCCCCTCATGATTTCTCCATAAAAAAAGCCTAATTTAAAATGACTTTCACTGCTTCTTGTATTAAAATTTGTTCAACATCACATTAAAGTGTGACTCACCATACAGAACAGAAAAATATAATCTAAAGAGATCTCTATATTTATTCATAGTAACCCATATAACCAAAAGGTTGCCAACTCTCACTAAAGCTTTTCTTTTATTTGCCTCCTTCTTTTCTTGGTCAAATGTCTCCCAAGATAAGGAGAGTGTTTTTGCCAAAAGGGAAACTCTTTTTCTGCACATCTTCTGATTAATTATTCTAAACCTCTGTATTTGGGATCTATTCTTACAAAAAAAAAACTTTCAGTATATGACTGCCTAATTCACCTGCCCCTTACAGGCTCCATCTACTCTCATTGAATCGGCTTGCATGGCTATGATATTTCTGAGTTTCAATGAAAGGGGAACAAAGATTATTTTACACAGACCGAGTTGTATCTCACACTGTTTGGTTGCCTAGAGCCATGCATCAAACAGCATGTAGCAAACCTGGGATTAATTATAGACACAGATTTTCAGAATGGTTTCCTCCAGTTGAGACAAATTAGATTTAAACTACTTTTCTCAAGCACTACCTGAAGAAAGTGGTATACACTTCTATCTCAGTTTGTCTCACCTACTGCAATGTACGTCATACTAGACAGAGATCACTTTCATTTCTTCAGCTAGTTCAAAATAATGCTGTCTATTGCTTTTGTAATCTTTGAGCACATCACACAGATTCTGTCCTTTCCCCAGTATTAATTTTGAAATCCTGATGTGGCAGCAAGACCTAAAATGGTCTTGCTGCCACTCTGATTTGTTCTCGTGTTATCTTCCCCAGAGCAGCAGACCAGCTGCTTTCAGTTGTCTCAAAAACTAGACAGAAACTTAAAGGAGGGGGAGCTTTTCTGCTGTGGCTTCCAAACTTTTGAACACATAACCTTTAATTATTAAACAGTCATTTGAGTTTCCTGTTTTTAAGCATCTTTTAAAGGTACATATATACTCAGTAGCAATAGGCCCATTGTGAGTTGAGCTGTTGCTACTCTTTTCATATTTGTTTTATTTGTGTTTTACATTTTCCGATTTTTATAGCACCTTCGGTAAGATATTTTTAAAGCATACTTTACAAATAAGTTTTCCTGGAACTCTGGAGATGCTTGACTTCTAAGATTGCATTAGTTTCATAAAGCAATAACATCATAATGTACAGTTGTGATGTGGTGGTTCTTGTTGCTGGACCCAAATGGAGAGACAGAAGTGGCAAATGGATATTTTGGAGATTTAATGAAAAGATAATTAAGAACTTGCAAAAGTCACTGGGAGCCTAGTCGAAAACACAAACCAAAACAAATCCATAGCAAGAGAACAACAGGGAGGTACGAGGAGAACACACATGGTTTGTGATAGGAGTAGATGAGAGGATCTGGCGAGTAATGAGTAAGAATGAAGTGCGTAAGTACTGGGGAGGTTGAACGCTGAACAAAAGACCCAGGCTGATGGGATAACAGGTTGCAGGTGGGAGTGGAGGGAGTGGCTGACAGACTGAGGAGAGGAAGAGGGAGAAAGTGGCACAAGGGGACGAGGAAGAGTACACAGGAAATAAATCTAACCCTGAAGAATAACTAGATTAAAGAAACAATTATACTAGAGTGTCAAAGAACTAGAAACAACAAATAAACATGATGAACTAGAATCACAAAGGGAGAAACAAGGCAGAACTAATACAAATAAAAACTAAGGAATACAAAAAAATGACAAATAATCAAAACAAACTCAGACAATCTGAGATTCTAACACATAATATTCAATTTAGCATTTTAACACCAAAGCCTATTTTCATATTGTCTATTCAGGAATTCAGTGTCATCCCACTGTTTGCTAAACACTAACTACACCTACAATTGTTTCTCCCATCAAACTTCAGTCAGAAGTTGCCAACTCTGACTAATCTAGGCCATTCTCTGAGGGACACCGCACATGACGAATGAAACTCTTATTCAAGAGAACCAACATTTTCATTTAAACTTTGATCAGATTGTTCAGGTTGATAAAATGTGAACAATTTCAATGGCTTGAACTAAATGCCTTGCAGAATTCCTTTTTGTCAGTGCATAAAGTCAAATGGCTTGTTCTTTATTTTTAAAGGAAAAAATATTGCTTTTAGATTGAGGCATAATAAATGAAGCCCACTTGGAATATAGCGTGCTGCTGGCAGAACATGTCAGGCTCAGTTGTTCTTTCCTCTTGTTAAAATGTACCCTCCTTATTCTCTTGGTTTTCATAATCAAGTTGATTGAGGATTTAATCCTTAAAAGTGTTTACTGATATTCTACATAACTGCAGAGAAACGTTTGAGCTCTATGTGAGAGCACAATGTGGATTTTAGGAGAGTTTGACAACACAAGGGAAGCGGTTTGTGTAGGAGGGCAGTCTGGTATAGACATGATTCATTACCAAAGATCTTCAAGGATCATTTAGAGTCAAGCTGTTGTTAAAGCTTTGCAATAAGGTCAGCACATTCCTTCAGGATGACATTAAAATTTTTAAGATGTTTCCTGTAGCAACATTGGCCAGACTTTGAAACAAGCCTAATTCTTTCACTTTGCCTCACCATGCATGCACCAATATGACTATTGTTATATGTCTGTTGTCATGGCACTCAGTGAAACACCAATGCTTAAACCTTTTGCAGCTCGGATGCAAATCCAATGCTTTGGAGTTTGTTGAAATCTGTCAAAAGTTTCCACCAAACTGTTTACTGACAAGGTAATTATCTTGATTCTTCTCCCTCTTCTGACGTCATCTACTCATATACACAGCAGCAGTCCCTTAAGTAACTTGGTATTTCTTTGAAAGCTTACCGTGGAATTACAAATTTCATTACCCTGCTTGTGTTTCAATTTTAGGGGTACATTTGCTGTTGAAACCAATTCAACGTTTATTTTACATCCTCCAAAACTCTTTGGTAAAGATTCCAGACATGAAACAGAAGAGGCTCTTTGGTGGTGCGTAAAGGCTCCTGTGGGAAACGCTCCTCTCCCGTACTTGCTTCTCTGATTAACCCACTTTTCCATTCTTATTATCCTGGCATTGTCACAGAACGGTAGGCGCAACTTTACAAAAGCTTTGTTTCAAAATAAAAAAAAAGAAAAAGAAAAAGTAAAAACTCTAAGACAAGTTAGCGGGTATTTTCCACAGCTTACCAGCGTAGACGCCAATTTTCTCATTTTATGATGTGCAGAAAGCACAAATGAGAGCTTGTTAAGGGGTGAGACCTACAAAAGTCTTCAACGATGGAACAAAGGGCCATTAAATAGAGGGTCTGTGCCACAAGCGGCGGCTGCTCCTCCCCCTGATTTCGCTACCCACAGGCATAAATCTCAACCCAAAGCACAGAAACGCATTACAGCCTTTCATACAGAGAGCCTATTTATCAAGTTGGGTAACTTTTTTGCAGTTAGAGGTCATCTCAGCACAAAAGGCGCTGGCCCAAAAGGAGAGTCCACGCAACGGTCAAGCAGATCACAATGGAGATAGTCTGCAGGCTTTCACATATTTAAAAGTGTGTAAGCACTACAAATGACACGACTAAAAGAGGGGTAAATTAACGCTGTTTGGAGCTAAGGGAATTCAAATAATAATAAAAATAAAAATAAAAAATAAAAAAATACGCTCAGTAGAAACTTCTTACCAACTGACGCCGGAGCGTCAAGTTTTCCTGGCCCCAGCTGCTGAAGCATTCCTGCTCTCCTCTTGAGCCATCCTGGGCTGGAGGTTCTGCCAGAGCCAGCGCTCCCAGCACAAGACACTCCTGCCTCTGTCTGCGGAGCTCCAGCTCACACAGCCCGGCCAGACTCGCCTCCAAGCGGTCCTTGGTTCGACTGCGCTCCACGGTCGCTGGGAACGAGAGCGCACGCTGCATCTCCACCCAAAGAAAAATCCGCGATAAGGTGAAGAAAAAAAAAAATTCCAACCGTGTCAGATTTTTTTTTTTCTTTCGCTCTTCTTGTCTTCGGTTGGTACAGTTTTAGGAGAGCAAACGCAAACTACAGCGGGTCAAATTCCATCCCATTCCTCGTGACTGCGCGGTTATCTTGGAGCAGCGGCATGGTTCCTCCGACCTTCTCTGAGCTGCATTTTTTTTTTTTGACTCGCAGCTGTCAAACGCATCCCTGGAGCCCCGCCTTCGGCGGAGCGGCCACGGAGGGAAATTGGGGGAGTCATCCCGCTTCTCCCCCTCCACCCACTTTTGTAAAATCAGTTTCAGCAGTCATTGGATCCTGGAGGCTGGGCTGAGGTGCTGACCTCGGAAGTGTCCCATCCCCCTTGATTCCTTACAGTGACGCGTCGACCTCACCCATCCCAGGACTAATGGACTTCCTAGGGGGATGGTTATATTTCCATGATTAAAACACTGGGATCTGGAAGCATTTATTGTGTTCACATGAAGGTAAAAAACAAACAAAACAAAAAAAAAAAAAAAAAAAAAAAAAAAAAACAGAAGCAGCAGAAAAATAAAACGTCAAGTTAGACTACCACGAGAAAACAGTTTTGACAGATTTGTGTTGCGTGCATGATATTGTTTAAATTATTCAGATATATATTTTCACTGAAATAATAATTATGTTATTTTCTAACCTATTCCCTCTCCGGTTGTTCCAGATCGCAGAGGAAGTTGGAACACATTCAGATAGCAATGAAGGAATGTCTGGACTTCTAAATGAATCCTGGGTGTCATTTAGTTTATTTTTTGCCTGGAAACTTAAATGACGCATTCATCATTTCAGGTTCATTTCTTCAAGTTTAATGAGGAATCATATCAAATATGAATTTACACTCAGTGCCAGACAAGTCAAGCACCCAGAAGGAATATTTCCAAATTAAATATTTGGAAATATTTAATTTCCAAATGTAGGACGATGGGAATCATGAGAACTCAGGCCACATTCTTATTTCTTATATGTATACACATAGAATAAGGTAAGTAAAAAGGAGCCAATGACACTAATGACTAACTGTATTGACTCCCTGTTGGTATCATGTTACCTGTTCTGCGCATTTTCTTTGAACAGCTCTTTGTGTTTTAGAGAGACCTGCTCAAAGAACAGCTAGACTCTAGCTATTATTACATTTTATGATTAGTCAGACACACACAATTAACTTGAACACCATTGAGATATCTTTTGTGTCAAATTCGAGTCATATTACAATAGGGGAAATACGATAATGTTCGTTTTCACTTCAGCAAAGGCTCCAGCTGCCTGTATGTGTAGAGTCAGATGTTTCTTTAAAGATGTGATAAAACTATGAGCCTCGTCGATGATGCCTTGTCCGCTTTCTCTACCTGTCAAATCTATGTGATAGCAGCATATTTCCAATTCTTGTTGGGGTAAAATGTGTCAAGAAAAACAAATTAGAGAGCTTGGAGAGATAGCTGATTTGCATCCTTGGTGAGCCTCATGGAACACATTCATGACTCACGTACAACATAATACTGAATGAATGTGTTATTTTACTACATGTTATATTCAGTAAATCAGAATAGGCTTTCTAATGAGGCACGTTTGTCTGAAAAGCAGCTCAAAGAAAGTTTTAACTTTACTTTTACTAAGCCCACATTTAATGCTTGTTTTTATTGGTGATGCTCTAATCCTAAATGTCATGTTTTCATTAGCTGAAAAAAGGCTTCAAAATATCAGCATGTGTGTAATTAACCTATATGAGGTGTTTGACTCAGTGTGTTGAGTTACTGCACTAAATTACATTTTTAAATAATATTCCAATTAACTGAATCTGGCTCTTTATGGCTCTGATAATAATGAAGTTTCAAAATGATACAGAATTTTTTCCTGTAGCGCATCTTGTGTACATCTCAAATGTTTGAAAGCTTTTTCCTATCTCAGTAAAACAGAAATTAAAATAAAAAAAAAATCAACACAACAAATGAATTTTTACCAGGGAAGATTATAAAAAGCTTCAATTCCCAAAATAGCAGTGCTTTTAGAACCTACCATGAATTATCAATCAGTTTTCATTTTAAAGTGCAGTGATAGATGAATATTTCATATTGATATGCCATGCAATCTGTCTTCGTAGAATCTCCTCAGATGATGCACAGCGCACGTTTTGCACGGCTTATTGTGGAAATTTTGCGATTCACTTGAATTTCCTGTAATTTAAAAGAGCTCTTAACAGAAACCTGCCACCCACAACAAAAACCAACCAACAAACAAACAACAGCAACACGATTCATTTGGAATTTTAAAAATCTTTATTCATACTTCCAGTTTCTACTTCACATGAACCAGAAAGCCACTTCTGTATTTTTTTTCGGTTTCTATGAGGCAAAATCATCAGCAAGTCAAAACCCACGCGCAGCGCAGGCCGGATTCTCTTGTCAGCGTGTTTGTGTGCACACTGCAGAAATACACAACATATACTTAAAGTATATTCATCTTGTGTATAAATCTCACTAAAAGTCTAGAGATGAAAACATCTTCTAGAATAATAATAAAAAAAATACAGTAGAATTGCTTTTAAAAAGAAATACAGCAGAACATGTTATCTCAAGACACACTTGTAGAAGAGTGTTTGCCAGGAGTTTTGATCAGTGGTCGTTTTCAGGAGGTTGCGCGTGATTCCAGTTGGGTTAACACAATGCCGCAAGTTCAGCACAGCAAACTCGCCATGCCGAACTGGGTGCAATCACTGAACCACGCAATCTCTTATTTATCGGTGATATAATAATAATAAAAAAATAATAATAACAAAACAAAAAACCCACTTGGGCCATCTGTGTTACACAGCAGCAAGAGCAACCATACAATCATTCATTTAACACAGGTTAACTGTGTGAGTGCAAGCTAGAAAAAGAGAGACTGAAAGCAAATAGGTATTGATTGTTGCTTGTGTTTGTGCAAGTCAAGTTTTGCATAACTGTAGATACGCTGGAAATACGTCCTGACAACCTGTTTTATCCAAATCAAGCTGTGAGAATAGGCATGGACCGGTTACAGGCATTAAGTTATACCAAGGTCATAAAACCAGCTAAAACCTTTTTATTAAGTCATTCCTGCAGTTTAAAGTCAGGAAATACCAGAACAATTGCAGGGGTGATCAGATTTTCTCCAGTTGCTAGGAGAAAACTCTGAACCCTCCACCACCTGTTGCTGTGCACTGCTGGTTAGGTGGCTGAAAGAAGGGGACCTTCAATTTGCCTTCACGCACAAGAAACATTAATTTGCTTGGAAATATTTCAAGTTGCAGACAATCACAGAGTAAAAACTCCAAGAGCCCATCGTTCCTTTTACAGGAACATTTTAAAAGCTACAATCTGTGAGCTGCAAGTGTCGCTTCTGTAAAGCAACCAGTGCAGGTCCTACTGGAGCAGAGAGCTCCACTAACTAGCCAGTTAATATCCGATTGTTATCCTTATGTGGCTCTATTAAGAGCACAGCAGCAAAGAAAAAAAGTATTACTTGCTTAAAAAAAATACATAAATTTAGCAGGTGGATATTTTTTGCTCATCAAAATTAAAATAAATTTTGACAACAGTTTTAGTATAAACTGTCATTTCAGCAGCAGTAAGAATGATAGCTTCTTTTTTTCTATAAATAAACAAAATTCATGTTACACAATATATTTTTTAAATGTGAATACCATAATACTGTAATACTGAGATAATAACATTACCAAACCACAAGGACAACAACCCGGCCCATGCCTATCTGACAATATTTTAAATTTTAAATGAAAAACACCTGCTTGTGTAAAATGAACACTTCAAATACCCTTTAAAAACAAACCTTTAAAGCATCTCAGCCATATTTTTATTTGGAAAAATATGTCGTTCCTTTACCATCACCTATATGAAGCACAGCTTCTCTGTTAACTGTGGTAGTCAGGATTATAAACGTGAACCCTAAGGAACATCATTTCACATTCAAACTTCTAGGTTTTCCTCTGATATCATAACTCTTTTTAAAATGACATTTAAGCATAGCAGAAATCCAGTCAAGGAGATTTTCTTCAAGTTTCACCATGCACACCATCAAAACACAGAGCTGGGGGCATCCAGAATTCACTTTTCCCTTCTTTACCCTGAAAACATGGAGAAATCTGATATTTTTCATATTCGGAATGTGTTTAGGAAAGATCTCAGTTTCCAACAAACATGTCTAATGAGTTTGAAAATTGTAAATCACCAGTGTAATATTTCCTCTACATTCATCTCTAAACGGAACCATTGTATATATTTTTATTCTCTACCTGAAAAGGTCTTAAAGTGCTTCACAGTTTAATGAGGAAATCTTTTCTTTCTTCATTTTTGGAAGTGCTGGGGTCTTTGCTAAGAAACTTTCCAAAGATGCTCTACAACGCATCTCCTTTCTTACATATAGATATTTTTATATATATATGTATTTATATATATATAGTACATGACATACATGATGAACACTCCATTTAAAACAATGTGAGAAACTGTGATGGTGCAATTCTACTCTTCACTTTTGGTTCAGTTTAGTTGCGTAAAGTTTATTTTCATGCTTTTATTGCACCCAAAACAAACACTTGAAATAAAAAGAGGGAAATTACAATAATCTGGATTACAGGGATAGTTTGGCATTTTGAGAAGTGTCATCATTAATGCATTAATTTTTTTTGATCAGTTAGAACTTAAATTTAAAGATGATTTTTATGGATTCCGATTTTCTTTCCAAATTACTATCTGGTTTTTTGCAATTCCAGATATAGAAGTGGTTCAAAACATGGAATGCTTTTCTCAAAATGTCAAAAGATTCCCGTTCAGCAAAGAGAGGTCAAGCCACCAGAGTGGTGACAATGGAGCTGCTTACAGAGGGCAAAGGAAGGGTTTTCATCCAAAATATTACATATCCATTTAAATGAGGAAAATCATCAATTTCTTCACTCAATTGGGACCTTCTTCTAACAAATATTTCAAAAGAATGTGTTGACTTCCACAACCAATCACTTTTTGCAAAAGCAGGAGTTCATTTTGTTTTCAGATTCTGGATACATCACTTTGGAACAAAACTCTTCTAGTGTAAACTGGACCCCGGTGGGACAATAATGCAAGGCATTATCCAAAACACGTTAGCAT